TGGAATATGGGGCACTTGCATTCCAGGCCCAGCTCTCTGCCTGGAATCTTCTGCCTCATCCTCCAAGACCCGGCTGGGCTCAGAGGGGTGCCCTCCCGGATTGCCCCGTCCCAGCCGACATCCCTTTCTCTCCTGTACACGGGGCCGGATTCTGATTTATTTCCATGAGCGAGAACTGATTGGAGCATCTACCCAGACGAGGTTCTTAAAAGCACATAAATCCACATGATCCTCGTAATATAGTTGTCATGTAAAGAAATACTGTTATTTACATTTTAAGGATGAGGAAACTGAGGCTTGGAGAAGGGAAATGATCCTCTCTTGCAGCAAAGTCATGTGTCGAGCATGTGGCAGGGTTGGGGTCTGTCTACCCTAAACGTTCGTGTTCTTGGCACCATGGCGGCAGCCTCTTCCTGAGCTGGGCTAGGACGGGAGGTGTCAACTGGCCTCCTGGGGGGGTCCGTCGTACCCCCCAGGGAGGGAAGAACTCAGGACGCACAATACTTTATACCGGAAGTACAGGCAAACTCCTTGGTCTCTCTGTGGCTTCTCCTTCTAAAGGTTCCTCTGCTTCGGACAATAGCACTGGGTGTTCACATGCGATAAACATTTATTTGGATGTTGTAAACAACATGAATGCATTATGGCTGTCTATGAGCATGTATACATGTCAGACTCTGTGTGAACTGCTTAGCTAGCATTATCTCAACAGACACTTTACAAGAACCCCACAGAGTTCTTCTGCCATAATTATGCGCCTGCTGCAGGGAGAAGATAGAGCCCCAAGCCCTCATCTACAAAGAGAGAGGCTGTGCTGGGCTGGCCCCAAGGCCACTGTCCCACATCTATGAAATATTCATTGCACGTGTACACGAAATGACTTGCTTGGGTCTCAAGGTCATTAGGGCCCCGACCACTTTTGTGGTCCTTCCTGAGCCCCTGTTCCCCAGCCCAGGGTCCTCCCCTGCTTCTGGGATTCCCTGCAGGAAGGAGACCATCGTCACTTTAATTCCCTGTACTCCCTCCCTCCATCCATCTACCATTTATTAGTGCCTACTGTAAGCCCTGCCCTACTATGTGCTGTGGCTACACAGAACCAAAAAGCAAGGGTCTCCAGGAACCCACAGGAGGTTCCCAAAACTCCGCCTCTCCAAAGAGGGTAGCGCACACTCCAAAGCTGACAGTGCCAATCAGAGACCAGTTAGAAAATCTGCTTTCTGGAAGGGCCCGGTAACTCATTGAAGATTGGTGGCCTGAAGATGTGCTCGGAAAGTCCTTATTTTTCTCTCCTGCCAGGAAGGGCTGGGGCAGAAGTTGCAAATTGATGGGAAAGGAATTAGCTCAGCTGTGGCTTCTTCCCCATGAACATCAACAATGAGGAAGCATCTTGCAGAGTCTGGGCAGAGTCGTCATGGTTGGAGATTCCCTGGGCCGGGCAGCTTGCTGAGATTTTTCTAGAGACAGATTGTCACGGCTCCTCCGTCAGCATCAGCTCAGGAGGCATCTCTCAACAGCTCACTCTTCCTAGTGACACTTCCTCGGTGGGTGGCGGCTGTAAGGCAGGCTCTGCCTTCCCACAGAAGCTCCTGTAAAACAGGCAGCACTTATTCTGTGCCTTTTGTGGACCGGTTTCTTTAAATATGATGTCTTTACTCCCCACGATGGTCCGGGAATGAAAATGACATTATCCCCATTTTCCAGATGAAAAACTGAGGCTTGCTAGGGGAGATCACATAGCCAGGCAGTGGCAGTGCGAGCATGGGAGCCAGGGTCCCGGTGACACAAGATTTTATCAACTCTGTTACGTATCATGTTGCTTCAAGACCGGGCAGGCCTGCCTGTGGCGTCAACACTATGTAAAACTGTGATGTCTTCTAAGTTTCTGGTCCCTTTGGTTCTGGGGACGAGGGAGGGCTGAGTGCCCCAAGAGGCCCAGACAGGGGGGATGGGAGACCACAGGAGAGAGCTCCCAGCATATCTGATGGTCGTGCCTACAAGTTTGGAATCTGGAATCCATTCGTCTAGGCAAGACGGTGGTGGCTGGATTTCCAGACGGGCCCACAAAATCCCAATGGCCCCCAACACTAGGAGGGTTACCGATAGAATTTCAACCACAGCCCAACTGTCACTTATAATTCTGTGGCTGCAAGAAATGCATTCTGAGGTCTTACTCATGATACCAGCAACGTCTCTCTCCTCTTCATTGCCCCCCAACCCCAAGCTGCATCCTCAGAGCTCCTCCCAAAAGGCAAAGATGGGGGCATCACTCATTTTTGCACAGGGAGAGAGACCCTTCTGGGCACCAGTTAATACCCCACCTCTGTCCAAGACAATGCTTGAGGCTCAGCAGGTGCTCAACAGCTGTTGACAAAAGCAGAGAGAAAAGGGAGGAGGAGGGACAAGGGAAAGCAGGTAGAGAGGCAGGCAGGGGGGACGGTGAGAGGTCAGGAAGGGCAAGAGAGAGGGACAAGCAGGAAAATAGTAGCAGTGTTCACTGCTCCTGCGTTTGGAGGGACCAAGGGCAGATTCTGCAGGTGAGCCAGCCAGACGTGCCTGTGCTATACTTGGCCCCCCGCCTACATCATTTTGCTTTTGGCTGACCGGCCTGCCTCGCAGATCAAGCCTCCTTCAGTGGCAGGAAGGCAGCCGGGCTGCCCCCGACAGGAGCACATGGCTCTGGCACACCAGCAACCGCTCCACCAGGCCCCGGCTGCAGGGAGGGCAGCGAAGGCTGACGTTCGTGCCTCGCAGATAGCTCTGTTCCATCTCGGGCATCCATTTGCCCTTTCCTGGTGGAGGAGATTTTGTCTGGCAGACAGGCATCGCTGGGTGTTGCCATGGTGATGGCTATGATGTCACTCGGGAGTAAATCAAATTGCAAATCTCACAGTCGAACGGCTCCACTTCGGAAGGGTCGTTAGGAAGGAGCCAAGAGGGTTGATGCAGCCAGGGAAGTCGCAGGGTGGGTCTGTACCGAGTCCGTCCCTCTCCTGCCTCTCCTTTGCTTTGTCACCTCAGATGAGGCTCATGTGTTCACTCACTCAAACACTTTCTTGAGCACCTACTATGTGCCAAGCACCATGCTGGGTAAAGCAGATGGGGTCCCTGATTGACTGCACTGAGGTTACAGTCTAGTGGGCAAGAGAGAAACACACGAGAAATCACACAGTAGATGTGTCACTACCACTGTGACTCACGCAGTGAAAGAACATGCCAGAAGTACATTTGTTTGCTAGGGCTGCCATAACAGAGCACCACAGATGGGTGGCTGGAACGACAGAAATTTATCTTCTCACCATTCTGGAGGCCAGAAGTCCAAGGTCAAGGTGTCAGCAGGGCTTGTTTCTCCTGAGGCTTCCCTCCTTGGCTTGTAGATGGTCATGAGACTCCTCCCTGTGTCCTCCTGTGGTCATCCCTCTGTGTGTGTGTGTGTGTGTGTGTGTGTGTGTGTGCCCTAATTGTCTCTTCCTATAAGGACACCAGTCATATTAGATTAGGGTCTATCCTAACAACCTCATTTTAACTTAATCCCCTCTTTAAGGATCTATCGCCAAATACAGTCATATTCTGAGGTTCTGGGGGTCAGGACTTCAGCACATGAATTTGGTGGGGGTGGGGGGATGGAATTCAGCCCATCACAGGAAGTGAGGAGAATGTCTGAGAGGAGGATGCAGGTATTTTTATTTATTTATTTTTTTTTTTGAGACACAGTCTCGCTTTGTTGCCCAGGCTAGAGTGAGTGCCGTGGCGTCAGCCTAGCTCACAGCAACCTCAAACTCCTGAGCTCAAGCAATCCTCCTGCCTCAGCCTCCCGAGTAGCTGGGACTACAGGCATGCACCACCATGCCCAGCTAATTTTTTCTATATATATTAGTTGGCCAATTAATTTCTTTCTATTCATAGTAGAGAAGGGGTCTCCCTCTTGCTCAGGCTGGTTTTGAACTCCTGACCTCAAGCAATCCGCCCGCCTTGGCCTCCCAGAGTGCTAGGATTACAGGCGTGAGCCACCGCGCCCGGCCGATGCAGGTATTTGAAGGGCTGGGAGGCCTTTTCCAGGAAGGCAGGGGAAGATGGAGATGGATTTCCAGGGAAAGGAAGCCCCTGCTTCTCTTCCATAGTGGAGCATACTCTTCTATCCCACGGCCTTTGGGCTTAGCCATACAACTTGCTTTAACTACGACTTGCTTTAATGGAAGGTTAGTGGATGGGAGCTGAGCGGAGGCTTCAAACACACTGGCATGGTTCACCTCATTCTCCCACACATCCACCCTCTGCCACAAGAACATGTCTTGTGTAGTGGCCGGTCCACACTACAGAGAGACCTGCAGAGAAGATCAGAACCTGACCTGTACCCTATAGAACAGTTCCAAATGACCCACAAAGCTACCCACAGGAGAAATAAATGCTTGCTGTGGCAAGTCACTGGGATTGAGGCCGTGTTTGTTATGCAGCATTATCACAGCAATGGCTGACTCATACACTGAGCGAGGGATGAGGTTGGCTTCAATTAAGGTGATGGCAATGGGGCCAGAGAGAAGTGGCCCTATTCAATATATATTGTAAAGTTGTTAACATACAGGTGACATTTAAGTCCTGGGGTGGATCTACCAGGAACACAGTGTGGGATGAAGAGAGGGACAAGGACTAACCCTTGAGGGATTCCACCCATCAAAGGTTGGGGCGTGTGCTAGTCCACTTGTACCGCCAAAACAGAATGCCGCAGTCTGGGTCGCTTAAAAAACAGAAATTTATTTTCTCTGAATTCTGAGAGCTGAAAGTTCAGGATCACGGTGCTGGGGGTTGATTTCTAGCGAAGCTGCTCTTCCTGGCTTGCAGTTGGCTGCCTTCCCGCCATGTCCTCACATGCTCCTGGTGTCTCTTTCCCTTCTTACGAAGACACCTATTGGATTAGGGCACCACCCTTATGATGTCATTTAACCTTAAGTTCCTCCTTAAAGCCTGTCCTCCCAATAATGTCACATTGGGAGTTAAGACTTCAACAGATGAATCTGGGGGGCAAGGGGGACACAGTTCGGTCCACAATGGGTAGATCATGCCAGGTCCTAAATGCAAGAACAAAAGCTGCAAGGCCTCCTAGGACTTAGATGGGGAAGTCAGGCAGCATCACACCCACTATATTTTATTAGTCAAAGCAGCCAACCCAGATTCAAGCGACCAGGGAGAAACAGATTCCATCTCTTCGTGGGAGAAGGGGCAGAGCCACATTTGCAAAAGGGTGTTTAGGATGGAAGGGATCGTGTGCCCATCTTTGGAAGCAAGCATCACAGAGCTTCAAGGATGGGTGAGTAGGAATCTTCAGGATTCTCTCTGGTCCTCTGGCCACCACCAAGGGACTTAGTTACCCGGAGGCAGAACCACTTGTAGGCCAAGACAACCTCAGGGCAGCTTCCTCTTACCCTCCTTTAGTCTAGCTAGTTATTTGAGAACACCCACGCTGGAACCTACATCATTTCACAATTATGACAGGGCCTAGAATTGCCTTGAGTAAGAAGATGATGGACCTCTTGGCATCTTCTAAAGGTGACCTGGTTGGTGGCCTTGGATGTCAGTGCCCATCCCTCCTTATAGTGATAATGCAGCCCCATGGCTCCTGTGTGAGTCCCCTATCCCCAGCCATGGACAGGATTGGTGGGGATGTCAGCCAAGGTGTCCTGTCCCAGGCCCAGCCAAGGGGTGGACTCAGGATCCGAAATTGCTCCCAGAGTTCATACCTAACAGGGAGTCACACAAAGACAGTGACTGTGTGAGCACAGGACGCTGGCAGAGGTTGCCCTTTGGTTGCTGCTACCTGGTTCTTAGTTTCTTCTTCATTCTAAGATCTGGTTCGTTTGTTTGTTTCAGTTTTTCCTTTGATCTGAAAGCTTTTCCACATCTTCCCAATGAGTTTCTTCTTTGCTTAAGTGACCCAGTGTGGATTTCTGTTCTATCCAGTCAACGACCCCTCTCTCTGCTGGGGATTCTGCAAGAGGTGAATGAAGACAGGAAACTACCTCGTTATGTGAGTGCAGGGCTCTTCGCTGGGCGTGGAAGTGGGGCAGGGGCAGCCGCCCGGGAGGAGGCCTTGGCATTGGCCAGGAAGGCGGTTAGTGCTGACGGGGCCCCGGGTCCCTGCGCCACGTGGGCCTTACCTGGGCTGCTGCTGTCCTCTCGTCAGGCACCGATGAACACTTCAGCAGGGCACTGGCACTGGGTGGGCAGGAAAAGCAGGGGCAGGTCATTAAGATTAACAACAACAACAAGAGCTGTCACCTATTGAGGGCTTAGCAGGCTTATTCGCAGAGATTTATGTGCATTACTTTATTTAAGCTTGATCTCTGCTCTGTAAGAGTTTATTATGAGTATTAATCATGGTTATAGCTACCATCATTGAGTACTTACCCTCCTCCAGGCACTGTGTGTAACACTGCACACACATTTTCTCAATTATTCCCCCAACAGTTCTACAAGGCAGGTACTATTACTACCCCATTTTACAGGGTAGGGAACTGAGGCTCAAATAAGTTGCTTGTGCTAGATCAGTGCTGCTCACAGATGAATGCACACGGAAACACCCGGTGAGCTCAATAAACTCTAGATTATTGGGCTCTGCAGTCTTGTGTTGGGGCCTGAGATTCTGTGTTTCTAACAGGGCAATGCGGTTGACATTGACCCATGAACTGCCCTTGAGTGGGGCGGCCCTAGATCGTGTAGCTGGGGCCCAGCCCATCTGGAACTTGGCTGGGACTCTCCATCACACAACCGAGTCAAGTGTGGGGCCGACTTTGAAAAGCACAATAATGAGAGGACAAAGAAGATGGATGAGAGGACAAAGAAGGGACAGACTATTTCTGACCAGAGGGTTGAAGGAGGACCGCATGGAGGAGGTGGTTTGAGTAGGCCCTTGAAGGATGGGTAGGATTTTGACAGAGATGGAAGAGAAAGGGCGTCCCAGGTCCAGCAAACCCATGAGCAAGAACGTAAAGGAAAGAGCGGGATGTGTGTGCCGGAGACACCACTGCTGAGCACGAGGTGTGTTAGGAGTTGGATCGTGTCCAAGTCCTAAACCCCAGCCCCTCAGAATGACCTTGTTTGAAAATAGGGTCATTGCAGATGGAATGAAAACGAGGTCGCACTGGAGTAGGGCGGGGCCGAGCCAGCGTGACCGGGGTCCTCACGCACAGGGGAGGTCTGGACACAGAGACACGTGCACAGGGAGGATGCCCCGCGGAGGCTGGGGTTGTGCTGCCACGTGCCAAGGAACACCCAGAATGGGGCGAGACGCCTGGCACAGATCCTCCCCAGCGCCCTGAGAGGGTGCACGGCCCTGCCGACACCTTGATCTTGGACTTCTGCCTCCACAACTGTGAGACGATGAATTTCCGTGGCTCGGGCCGCTCAGTTTGCGGTACTTGTCCCGGCAGCCCTCGCGAACTAACACGCGGGACCTGCTGAGGGCGTGTCGGGTCTGTGTTGGCAGCTGTCCTCAAGGAACAAACGTGATCTTGTGCCTAGGAACTGCATTTTTAGCCCCAAGAATAGCTCTTGTCACAAAGAGAAATGCGTAAGAGAATGGCTAACTAGTTCGAGAGGAGCCACCGCCTGGGACCTGGTTAAAAGCGTGTGCACGAGCACACGTGTGGCTTTCCACCTACAGAAGGCAACGCACGCACAAAGCTAAGGCGCACATCACAGTATTCCTAAGTACCGAAGTCGGCGATTTCAGTTTCTCTCCTTATCTGAGAAGGTCGCAGGAGAAGAAATGGGGCGCAGTCTACCAGGTGTCGAGTCCTGCTATGTGTGAAGGACTGGGAGGTTTCATTGCATCCCACCGCGCTCTTTGTTATCCTCATTTCACCGGGTCATTGAGGGTCAGAGAGTTTCGGTCACTTAGCCAAGAACCCACAGATACGAAACAACACAACAGGCACTGGCACCCAGTGTTGTGCCTTCTGCCACCCGCCCTTGTCCCGTGACAGTGTGCAGACTGAAGGCAGCGGTGACCCAGAGCCCCGGCACGATTTGAGGAGGGAGATGAGTCCAAGCTCAGGAGAGATCTGCCTACAGAATTCTTACCAAGTGACGTCACAGCCCCCTTATTGTCCCAGCTACTTTTAGTTGGGCCGTCTGTTATTTGCCTCCCAAAGCGTCCTGACAGAATCAGCGGCTTACAACGCGCCAGGTAGGAGAGACATTGTAAGTCCTGATAAACAATGACCCGGTTTCCCCGCCCACACTCTCAACCAACCGAGAAATGAGAACAAGAGAAAGGCAGATGGGGCCCCAAAACGTGACGTTCACTAAAGACACAGCCACCCTTGGAGAGGGCGGCCCTGTGTGCAGGGAAGTGGGTGGCCTTCTGCTGTGCCCAGAATAGGCAGGCACGCACACCCCGTGTGGGCAGCGTCGGCCACGGCGGGACTGGGGGAGCCCAGCAGAGCCTGGCTCCCGGGGCCACTCCCGCCCAGGAGTCAGCGGGGAGGACGGGGCTGGGCTCCTGCCACCCAATTCCATGTCCCGGACTCACCAGTGAGATTGGTCACATGGCGCGGAAGGGCACGCGGCGGGGTGGAGAGCAGTCAGTGGAGTCACAGTGGCGTTCCTGGAGGACTCCCCAGGAGTGGGAAGAAATTTCCTTCTGGAAGGGTGAAATGGAAAGAAAGGAAAGAAGGCAGGAAGGCAGAAACAGAGTGATCGTATATGAGGACTGAACTCTGATCTTTTTCTTTTGCTAAAAACTCTTTCCTAAGGAGGCCAGCTGGGTCAGGCTGACAAATGGTAAATTCCTACTAAGGCTTTTGTTAACCAAATAAAGCAGTGGTTTACTTCCCAACCTGATTCTGGTATGGCATTAACATCACCTAAAAGATAGGAAGCCCCTGTCTTAACTCAAGCATCCTAGCAGATGCCTATCATAAATTTAAAATATCTTAACTCAAGCATCCTAGCAGGCGCCTATGGTAAATTTAAAATGTCCTCCTGTCTGGACTGGAGTGCTCATACCTTATCCTTAAGTAACATATCTTTCTGGTCTTCTAGATAAAGTCTAACTCTCAGCCAATTGCCAGCCAAAGGATCTTTAAACCCACCTATAACCTGTAAGCCCCCCCCCTTAGAGATGTCCCACCTTTTTGGGCCAAACCAATGTATGCCTCTCATGTATTGATTTGTGACTTTGCCTGTAACCCCTGCCTCTCTGAAAACGTATAAAACTGAACTGTAACCCAGCCACAGCGAGCCCACTTGCCCAAGGCCTCTTGGCAGTGGCTCCGGGTCATGGTCCTCAAATTTGGCTCAGAATAAATCTCTTTAAAATTATTTTACAGAGTTTGGCTTTTTTCCGTCGACATATAGTATGAACTCGCGTTTGGGAAAAAGCTCCATGCGTGTCTGTGCTAAGGCGCAGGCACGGACGAGGCCACACCAGGGCTGCCCGGGGGGAGGGTGCAGGAGGGAGGGAAAATGATAAGGGGTCTTCAGGGGGTGGGGGGCAGCCATGTGCAAGGCCCTTGCCCACTGGGAGCTGCCAGTCTGGTGGGGGAGCTCAGAGGACCTCGGGATCCCGCCCAGAAAACGAGAGCGGGTTGCGGGCTGGATTGCGCAGACTGTTGGGGGGAGACTGAGGAGGTCAGCGGGGAGGGGAGTTGGCCGAGGAGACGGACACTGGCGGGGAGGCTGAGCGTGCTGACCGGGGGTTCTCAAAGTGCCAGTGGTCCGACCAGCTGCAGCCTGTAACCCTTGCCTCTCTAAAAACGTATAAAACTGAATTGTAACCCAGCCACAGCGAGTCCACTTTCCCAAGGCCTCTTGGCAGTGGTTCCGGGTCATGGTCCTCAAATTTGGCTCAGAATAAATCTCTTTAAAATTATTTTACACCTGGAAACCCGTCACCTGGAAACCCGTCAGCAATACCAGTCTTGGGCCTGACCCCAGATCTGCTGAGTCATAAGCTTGGGGGATGTTTGAATACGCCCTCCAGGTGCCCCTGACACTTGCTCAAATTTGAGAACTGATACAGGAGATGCAGCCTTGGAGTCAGGTCCACGGGGGTTTGCATCCTGGCTCTGGCTCTAACAACTCTGGCCTTGAGCAAGTCAAATACCTTCTGTGAGCCTCGACTTCTTCATTGAGAAAATAGGAAGGATTGTCCTGCCTTGTACAACGATTAGTACCAGGTATGTACCAAGCGCCATTCTTGATACTGAGGTCCAGAGTTGAAAAGTCATGACCTCTGACCTCCAGGGGCTAAGAGCCAGCAGGTTGCAATAAGAGCCGGTATCTGTTGAGTCGGCTGCCCTTGGCTTCTGGCTTCCCGTTGGCAGTACCGAGAGGAGACTAGAAGGCAGGAAGGAGGAGAGATTGGGGCCTCCGTCTCCCCGCTCCCTCCGGCCTGGCTGCAGTGGGTCTTGCAGTGGAGTTTACTGGTCCATGGCTCCGGCTCTCACCACAGCCAGCCCTCTCCCTTGTCCATGAGGGCCCTGTCCCTTAACAGTAGCAGCTTTCTATTGTCAACCTCTTATTCTAAGCCTTCCCTAACCCTGCCCACACCTCGAAAATAGTCTCTTTATTACGCTGTCTTCCTGGCAAACCTATTGACCACTCCATCCGTTTCTGAGTGGGGCCCTTGCTGATCCAGACACCCAGGCAGGCAGTTAGCAAGCTCCAGCACCATGCCGGCATTTACGGGGCGCTCGCCGTATGAATGGCCTTGTTCCAAGGGCTGTTCGTGTTTAAACTCACTTGACCCTCCCTGTGTGGTAGAGATCAGGCATTATTCTTGAATGAATGCTAGTTACCCTTGGCCAACGAACTTCAGCATGGTTCCAGATGGAAACGCAACGACAAATCCGATGGAAGCTCCTGTAATGACAGCTGACTTTTATTACCGTGCCGTGGGAAGTGACATTTCGGAGGCCTGGTGCCTTTCTTAGTGACAGCCTCTATTCGGGTCGGGTTGATGTTTGCCTCTCCAAGCTCTCTGAGTGCCAGAACCATTTCCTGTGCTTTCGGGTCCCTTCCCGGTCCCGGCGCGGGTCTCAGGAGCTGGCAGGGGCTCCTGTGGACAGACTGATCGGCTGACACGTGTGGCTGAGTGAGTAGATGCTTTCAGAGCAGCTGCTGCCAGGGGGAAATTCCAAGTGCAAAATATTATTATTAATTACCACGATTGCTCTTTCGGCTGCAGGCACCGTGTCTGCTTAGAAGGAAGAGATAAGGCATCCCTGCCAAAGTAAAAAAGACTGATTAATGTTGACGGATTTTGTCCTCTGAGAGAAGGCTGCAGAGTGTTATTATTTCCTTTTTAATGACTTCTAGATTGAAGTTTAAAAAAAAAAAAAAGAACCTAGACTTGAGACCCAGCTTGGTGAAGGCTGTGTGACCTTGGGTATATTACTTAACCTCTCTGTGCCTTAGAGTCTGCATTGCTTAAACGAGAAGTTAGAACTAGGTAATGTCCAAGAGTCCTTCTTGTAGTTCCCCAAAGATGCTGGGCAGTGCAACACTAAGGCCCCAGCTGCTAGGCTGTGCTCACCCACCATGCAGCCCAGCCTCCTGGGTTCTTTAGTGTATGTGAGTTAAACTTGTTCTGCTTCTATCGCTGTGACTGAGGGGAGAGTCATGGCACCCATGGTAGGGGAGGAGGGACAGAGTCCAGAGCCTGACACAGAGTCCCTTCCTCCTCCTGCAGTCCCCATCTCCTCCTTTTCTTCCTCCTTTTCATGACCGCAGTAAGAGCAAGAACAAGAGTGGCAACAGCAACCTCCAGCTCCCACCACTGGAGCCTTTGCCCGGCGTCCCATCACGGTCACCAGCAATCTATAGAAAGTAATCCTTCTAATCCTCAGGGCACTTCGATGTACGATGCACTGTTCTTTCTCTGCTGACGAGGAAATGGAAGGATGGAGTTTTTCAGTCATTTATCTGGGTCGCACAGCTCAGAAGTGGCATTCGTGCTCGTAGCTGGAGGGATGTTCAGAGCTCGTCTGCTCTCTGGTTCTCACCCCGGCCGCAGGTTAGAATCCCCTGGGGGCAGGGGGCAAAATGCTGATGCCCAAGTCCCACCCCAGAGGTTCTGACTTAGCTGGGTTGTCGGGGGAACAGCAGCTGGGTATTTGGGTTTTTAATCTCCCCCAGATGATTCTAATATGCAACAAAGTTTAAGTGCCACTAATTTGGTGCAATAACCCATTTTACAGATGCAACCACCCCCCGTGGGCATGCTGGGGAAGAGGAACCATGAGCTCCAGGAAGTCACCGGCCCTACGCAGCCCCCTCGGAGCCCAGTATCTCTGAACCTCCCCGGGACTTCCCGGGGTGCGGTTTCCGGCCCCCCAGATGCAAAATATTCAGCCAAGATAAAAAAAAAAGAAGTAGCTTTGTTAACTTCAGTTGTGAAGTAGCAGTTATCCCAGTGCAAGAGGGCAGGCACATGGAATGGACTCTCTGGATCAGGAGGGCTTTGGATGAGGAGGGATGAATAGCTGGGAGGTTAGGAGCTGGGAAAGAGGCCAGGAAATTGATGACTAGAGACGTCAGCAAGGAACCCCGTCCGCAGAATCGTGTAAGCACGAGTGAAGTA